GAAAGGAAATTAATTAGAAGAAATATTTTAATATCGTTATTCGCCCTTTCTGTATAATAGAAGTGTCAACCAAATTCACGATCAACAATGACAGATGAAAACACATGCATGCGATTGGCACCAGTGAGAGCTTTATATGTATCGCGAATGTGTGAGTCAACTTAGCCTTTTATAGATATAGAATAAACTTGCTTAATTAGACCTGCTTTCTGATTTAGCTAAACTTTTTCCAGCCCAGTGAAGCACCCCAACTTCTCTTTCAGGTAATTGTCAACAACACAGCAGTAAATATCAACATGAAGCAGATTATTATTGTAGATCACCCAGGGAGAACAAAGGGTAAAATGTTTAACTTTAGCAGTGTTTGACTGTATTATGCACAGTGAGAAAACCTAAAGTCATTTTCAAGTTCCACCATTTCTTACTTCTTTTCAGTTGGGTCAAGTTTCTAAACTTTCTAAATCTCTGTTTTCTGGCTAATGAAAATAAGATTCCACCGATTCTCCTATCTACCTACTCCAGGACTTCTTTGAGGATCAAATGATATGAGGCATGGGAAAACGCTTCACAGACACTTAAAGTGTAAAATGTTTGCACCTGGCTATAAAGCAAGTGATGTTCCTGGGCTGAAAAAACTGCAAGGAGGCTAGTTGATAGGGAGAGGAAGCCAGGCATTGCTACGTGACATCATTACCCGGTGCCCACAGTGACCGTTTCTGGGCTGGGCTGGGCTGGGCTGTGGGCCACATTTTGCACCGTGGGGTCTCGGTTGGGTTGGTTGCGATTCGGTGGGGTGTCACTCCAGGGTGGTGGCGGGGCCTATGTCCCACTTGGGGGAAGCCAAGTGTTGCTTTGTCGGCACCAGGTGTGAGGTGGTGCCATTTCTTTGTAAATGCCCAGTGCACGTCACGGCAGCTCCTGCGTTAGCATCTGCCTCCTGGTGGTCAGTGCCCATCATAGTGACCAGTCTGACAGTGGGAGGGACACTTAGCATATTAGCCATATATATATGGTTAACAAAAATAGTGACTTAAGTCGATTTTGCATTAGCAGAGGCTGAAGATTGTTAACTAATATAGCTAAAACTTCTTGATTTTCCTGTCAGACATGTTAAAACAAGTGATCATTGTAGCCAATGACATATTTCTTACCTGGATCACAGTTCCATACCACGTTGGTGTAGGTTACTGCACTCCATCAGCCAAATTGAGCCTGAAAGTGGTAACAGTCCCAGAAGAACACATGGAAAAAGACATGGAAAGAGGAAATGTTGAAGTATTATATAGCCAGGCAGAGACTTAAGTACTGGACTCCACAGGCATCACTACAAAGACCTAAATGACCCAAATCCTGATGCCTGGGATGCCCAGCTGATCCCTTGATTAGGCGTAGACTGGTTTTTATTGCATTTAGGTTAAGCTGGCAGACCACAATGATGAGTCCTGCCAACTCAGAACACAGGGCCTAGTGGGAAGCTGCCCAGTTGCTAGTGATCATTCTTCAGCCATTCTGTTACCACCACCTGCACCAGGTGACCCAGTCACAGTTACTGCACATGTTTTCACACCTCTAAGTTCCTTAACCTCTTGAATTAAAAGTTTGAGTATGGAAGGAACCATTAATGCTATGTATAAGCAACTAAAGTAGAATGTTGAGCAAAATGACATCCCAGGAAATAATAGTAACACACAAATGTAACTTGGAATGTAAAAATTGGAGCAAAATGGCCCTGGCCAGTGTGGCTCCATGGATAGAGAATTGTAGACACATTTTCAGTATATGCATCTTTGAAAAGGGATAATAAACAGCATTTAAGAAGTAATGGTGCCTAAATTATGGTACCAACTCTAAAAACTAGTACCATGGATGCCTTATCCAGAATTCTCTACCATTGCTCGTTGTCAAGAAAATATGATTTTAAAGGATTTCCCACTCTTATTAAGGAGATTTATAGGTGGTATTAAGACAAATTACTCTCTGTTACCCTAAACACAAAACACCATTGTTTTCATAGAGCTATGGAAGTGATAACTGGCAGCTTTCCCATTGTTCATTCTAGCAAGACATTGTCTAAATATGAATTAGTGATATGTCTCTACTATCATAATGAATGAACTTACAGAAAACTAAATATTTAATTTATACTCATTTACTTTTCAAAATATTTTCATATGTTCAGTTTGACTTTCAAGATGTTCAGTTGCTTATGAGCACCTTCTGAAATTTTTCAGATGAGAAACAAAAAAATCTCTGAAAAAGAACTGGGAAAATGGGTGTTGAAAGCATATTGGACTAACAATTTTAACAGTACAATTAGAATTTGCATTTTTTGACTTGAATTTAGTATTGAAGAACTGTGGGCATGTAACTAAAAACGCTTTCACCTCCAATATAGAATAGAATAAATTTAGACTTGTAATTACCATATATGTCCACAAGGTGGGCCTCTTGATGTTCGGTGTTTTTCCTTATGCATTTCAATTGTCCAAATTTTACATAATTGCAAAGTACCTTTAAAACTTTTTAAATGTACTTTTTATAAAAAGTCATGATCTACCTTTCCCCCTATCAGATTGGCTTAAAATTTAATGGATGCTTCTAGAAGTGATTTGTCTTTCACAAAATTATCCATTATATTTTCTTAAAACTAAAAAATCCTTAAGAGCTTCTTTAATGCTTTAATATTCATTGTTCCTTTAATAGTTAATTATATTTTATTTTGTGAAAATGAACAAATGAGTTGTAAAGTGGATGCACAGGAGCCTCGTTAATGACTACTGGGAATGAAGAATTCTGACCACTCAGATATGGTGTTTGTCACTGAAAAGAAGACGGAATCTCAGAGGGAGTGAGGCAGGAAGAGATAAACCAAGGAACCTTTATGCATGTATGCATAACCCATGCACACAGGCAGTGAACTGAAGGCCTGGGGAGCGGGGAGCCGGAGGAGGGCTATCATCAATAAATCAATAAACAAGTGTTGGCGAGGGTGTGGAGAACTCCCTTTGGGAATGCAGACTGGTGCCGCCACTGTGGGAAACAGTATGGAGATTCCTCAAAAAGTTAAAAATGGAACTGCCTTATCACCCAGGGATTCTACTTCTGGGACTATATCCGAAGAAACACAAAACACTAATCTGAAGGAATATAGGCACCCCTACGTTCATTGCAGCATTATTTACAAGCAGCCCAAGTGCATCAGCAGACGAGTGGATAAAAAAGCTGTACATTTACACAATGGAATACTACTCGGCCATATAAAAGAAGGAAATCTTACCTTTTGCAACAGCATGGATCGACCTGGAGGGTATTATGTTAAGTGAAATAAGTCAGTCAGAGAAAAACAAACACCATATGATTTCACTTATACGTGGGATCTAAAGAACAAAATCCTGTATAATAAAGAGCTAATATGCAAATGGTCGTCATGCCCTCATGCTGTCACACTGGAACGGCTCAGACACTCAACAGTGGGGAGAGAGGAATGGGGACCAGCCAGGCTGTGGCCTGGGAGAGGGACAAGCCACCCGCCCCGCAGTCCCGGGCACCTGTGGCTGCGGCCTAGGCTAAGCTGCCCGCCCACAATCCCCTGCGGCTGTGGCCAGCCTGGATGAAGTCGACCTGGGTCCTGGGTGCCTGCAGCCAGCCAGAGGGAGGGAAGCCCAGGTCCCGGGTGCCTGTGACCAGCTGGAGGAGGGAATCCTGGGTCCTGGGTGCGGGGCAAGGCAGAGGTGGTTAGGGGTGATCAGGCCAGTAGGGGAGCAGTTAGGGGCAATCAGGCAGCCAGGCATAGAAGTTAGGGGCGATCAGGCAGGGAGGCAGGTGAGCGGTTAGGAGTCAGTGGTCCCAGATTGCAAGAGGCAGTCGGACATCCCCTGAGGGGTCCCGGATTGGAGAGGGTGCAGGCCGGGCTGAGGGACCCCCCCTCCAGTGCATGAATTTCATGCACTGGGCCTCTAGTAAAATAATAAAATAAAAACTGACTCATAGACACAGAGAACAGGCTGACAGCTGTCAGAGGGGAGGAGGGTTTAGGGCTGGGTGAAAAAGGTGAAGGAACTGAGCAGTACAAATTGGTGGTTGCAGAATAGCCACAGATATGCAGACTGCAGCATGGAGAATGCAGTCAATACTGTTGAGATAATGGGGTCCGGGGCCAGGTGGGTGCTAGGGGCGGGATGGGGCCCTCTTTAGAGGGTATGGTTTTCTGGCCACTTTGTGGTCCATCTGAACCTGGGGAGGAATGGTATTGATGTAAACTGTGGTTGAAAAATAATTAAAAAAATACAGCAATGTTGTCAGACACAGAGATGATGCCCCTATAGAGAAAATAAGTGCGCTGCTAAAGAGGGCAGGCCTGGGTGTGGCACGGGTCCCCCAGCTCCCAAAGGCCCCACGTCCCAGAGGGAGGGAGGGAGGAAGGGAGGGCTCATTTTGTGAGGACACTTGTTCAGAACCCACATAGAAATCCCCTCCAGGGACCATGCGTCCCACCTAACACGCTCCCCACTTTGTGCCAGGACTACTTCTCACCTGTGTGCTGGGTGCATTCCTCCCTATAATCACTCCATCTCAACCTTTGTCTCTTAGAACAACTTTTACTACTTTTCATGTGAATTTAAAAATAGCCTTAAGGAGGGCAGATTTTTCATCTTGGTAGAATTTTTCAGCAAATCAGTACTTATTTCTAGGTTTGTTACTCAGTGATACATAAATTTCAATTAATCTGAAAAAGACAGTTTGATTTTCCAAGGCACAAACCACAGGCACTAACAGTTTATAAAACAAAATATAAAAAAATGGAAATTCTCTCTTATGTTTTTGGATTCTGATGGCTCGAAAATAAAACTTGACTTGTTTCTTAGACTACTGTTCACACAAAACTCTTATTCCAACCCCAAGAAAATATAAAGCGCAGGTGAATTTCCTGCAATAAGTAATCATTTAATTAAAGAACAAAATTAACAGGAATCAAAATGTTGCAGCTGTATTTCTGTTAGACATTATATAAAAAAAGGAGAAATATAATACAGGAAATAATTTTGTATAACATGAACTTAGAGAGTTCTCAACTCAATCGTGATCGGAGTAAAAACGTCTTTTCAACATAACACAGATGACACCGCGTCACGCGCCCTCAGGCCCGAGGTCTGGAGTGCCGAGCCTGCACCTGCGAATCTCCACCCTCTGTCGACCTACCGCAGAACTGAAAACAAGGCTCAAAGGCATCCAACAGTTTTCTTCTGCAGTCACTCCGGGTCTCTGAGGACCCGACAGCTCACTCCTGGGACGCCAGAGCGAGACCTTCCGTGTCCGTGTCCGGGTCCGTGTCCGGGTCCGTGTCCGTGTCCGTGTCCGGGTCCGTGTCCGGAGAGCAGCGAGGGTGACCTCCCTGCGTGCTCGCTCCTCCCGACACAGCGGGGAGTCTTGAGTTAAATTCAGGAGAGTCCCCTGATGAGTATCCAGTGTTGGTATCAAAAGTTAAACACAGATTCTTCTCAGAAGAAAATCTCTACGGCCTGTGGAATCTAGAAATTATTTTAAAAAGCACAATTATTTCAGGTCATACATTTTGAAGTTGAAATTGCCAAAACCTCCCACAAAGAAATCTTTTGCTATTTAGTGTCTCTTTAGTCCAACCTGGAAAACCTGTTTTGGTTCAAGTGTGTGAAGCACCTCAGGGGGCCCCCCAACCCTCAGCCTCCCTTGTACCCACAAAGGATTGATACCCCCAAGTCTCAAGACTACCTTACACCTAGTTGGAAAGCGGCTCGCTAAATCCTGAGGCACTCAGAAAGGCCAGGACTGCAAATCAGAAGTAATGGGCTGAGGAGACCAGTTATTGGAAATTACAGTAAGTTAGAGTTTTGTTTGCTTTTACAGTTGCTAATGTGTTTGTGCTTTAATCCACTTAAGAAAATCTCATATGACTAAAAATATTGTTCAGACTTTTAAAAGTGGACTGTAAATCCTAAAATGCGGTAGTATCAAAATCTTATAATAATTATTTCCTGATGTCCAAGTTTTGGGCTCACTCTCAAAATCCCATCATCTAAGACAGCTGTCAAGAACTTAGGAGAGAAAAACACACCTTTTAGTCAACATTTCTTCTAATAAGTATGATGGGAAAATGTATTAAATATTTTACATCACCATACATAAAACACGTGGGAATTATATTCTCTTAACACAGAGTGAGCATTAAAAATAATTTTGAATGTTGACTGGAGACTTTCTTCCCAAAATGTTTTTGATTTCTGAATAATCGAAAACAAGATGATCCATTCCTTCCTAAATATACATCAGTCCTGGGGGAAACTTCAAAAAAATTTAAACAGATTATCTACTCCTCATTTTCTTCTGCCCCCGCAGCCTCCTCTTCTTCCCTCAATCTCTTCATCATAAAAGTGGCTGGTAGGACAGGATCATATGGCACCGGTCTCAGTTCCACAGCTACACTGGCCTTGCAGGGTAAACCTGCCAAATGACAGCGCTGAGGCCGCTCTGTGACAGAGGAGCCGGAGGACGCACTGTTCTAGTGTAAGGCAGGCTCTCCTTCCTCCTCGCATCCCGGGCTCGAGCATCTTTAGACCAAGGGAGAGAGGACAGACACCTGCTTGGGAGGGGAGGGCTTGCTGCTGAGGGATGAAGGCCCTAGGAGAACTTCAGAGGGACTGCATGTGGCGGCCACGGGAAAGAAGGGGTGCTGAGAGAACATGCGGCCCACAAGCAAAGAGAAGCCGATCTCCACTCTCCACCAAGAGACCCACGTCATCTCAATGGACCACGTGGACAGAGCAGGATGCGCCTCGCGGGGAGGTCTCGATTCGGGAAGAACCGGCCAGTGTGTTCCCACTGGAATGTACGTTCTGTGGGGATGGGCACTCCTTCACCTCTGCCCTCGAATGGGGCTGGCACACAGTAGGTACTCAAATATCTGCAGAGGAAGTAAGTGCCCTCTGAGCAGCGGGGGAGCGTGAGTGTGTGTAAAGACGTGAACATAAATGTGAGTGAGATGGGAAAGGGAACGGGAGGGTGGAGAGCAGTTACTGGGCACTCCCAGCGGATAACTAGGGAGCTCTGTAAACTGGAGTGTCAGGAACACCAGGAGGGTAAGTAAATATATAAGCAAATTACTTTCAGTGCCTTGAGGCTAATTTTGTTAAATGTACATTAACTATGTAGATTAGCCAATGACCTTGCAATACTGTTCTACATAACCACACCCTTCACCACGCCCTGGGAGGAACCCTGGGAGCGAGCTCCTTTTTGAGCTGAGGCGCATCCTGACTGTTCCATACAGTTCTCTGCAGCTCCGACTCTGTTCACCTGAACACAGAGTTCTTTCTTTGTGGCATTTTCTTTTCTTTTCTTTTATGAATCCCATGCTATAAAGTATGAACTTCACACAAATAGAAATCTGACCTTGTCAAATGCTTGCTCGAGGCGTGTACCTCCATCTCGTTACTTTTGTATTCATTGAGTTCTTTGCGAATCGCTGCCTGGAATGTAAAACAGCACATTGGTTCACAGGACAGTGAAGTTAACACAGGAACGTGGTGTCATGGCTGTGGATTAACCACCCTTGCTAACAGTGCTGCTTTGGTAACATATTCCTAAACAGAAAGGGAGAAGCAACTTGTTGCTCAGATTTAGACTCTTACTCATCTTCATGGCCCTGCCAAGCCAGTGCGGCCAGGACTGACTGGGGAGGGTTTGGGGAGCTCACGGGCTGCGCTGGCGCAGGGGGAGCCCACAGCTGCCGGGAGCGCAGGGCGTGGACGCAGCAGGAACCCCGTCCCTCGTGCGCCAAGTGCAGCTTCGGGAAACTTACAAAGGAGTCACTCTAACTTCAGTGAGCATTTGTGTCTCGTGTCATTTGAAATAGGACACGGTCATTGCCCGTGGGTGACACTGCCTCTCGCCTGGACCTCCTCCAGCGCCCAAGGCCCACCCTCCGGGGCCAGGTGACCCAGGAGCAGCAGGCACAGCCTGCCTGTGGGTGAGGACGGGCTCTGAGGGGAGGACTCCAGGGGGGCTGCTCCCACCTCCACAGTGGCTGTCAGACACTTTCCCTGCCCCTCAGGCCCCTGCGAGCTGATGGCACAGGGGCAACCAAGCATCAGTCCAAGCACGTGTCTGCGTTTCTCCAAATTGGTGCAAACCCACTCGCATTCCTGCTCAGCACAGATGGAGGGACAGTGAGCAGCCCGCAGACTCCCTGACTGCAGGCGCTCTCCAACCTCTTCCTAAGGCTGCAAGAGTCAGAGGCAGGGGTGCTGTGGGCAGGCGGGCAGAGGCGGACACCCGCTGTCTGACTCCTGCCAGGCCACAGCGCTGACCACGGCCAGCACTTCCCAAGCTGTCTGTTGGGGGAAGTAGCAACGCCTCTTGCAGGGGTTCTTTTGAGGACTCCATGGAACGATAGCTGACAGGGGGCTCAATACAGGGCAGGGTCAGGGCTCGGTGGAGGCTCACTCACCTCACAGCCCCGGGACCCCCACCTCCTTCCTTTCTTCCTGCCTCTCTGGCTGTGAGCTCTCCTCAGTGCCTCCTGGGCCTCTCCTTCTCCCTGCCCCACTGCAGCTGGCTTTCCGTAAGCCTGTGTCACCCAGTCTCTTTCGCCAGCCCTGCCTACCTCTGATTCATCCCCAGACTCCGGTCTCTGCTCCCACATTCTTGACACTGGGGACTGGAGGAGTCTCTGCTGTGGGCTGTCCTGTGCACTGGGCTCCTCCCACTAGACACCAGTAGCGCCCCCCACTGGTGACACTAAAAATATCTCCAAACATTGCCAAATGTACCCGGCCAAACTGTCTCCTAATTGTAGACAGGACCCTGATCCAGGTTGCCTCTGTGAAGCCAACATCTGGTCAACATAGCGTTATTTCATGGCTGACGGCCCCACTGTAAGAACACACTCCCCCCTTAGCACTGGGTGCCTTTGCCCACAAGGCTGCCCCCGACCAGCTCAGACAGGTCTGCCTGTACCTTGTCTGCCGCCGACAACCTCGTCCAGGGCTTGTCCGCCCGTCTGTCGTAGTCCTGGGCTTTGGCCACTTCCACGTAATCACTGAACCGTATCAGAATTTTCCTGTCTCTCAGTTCGTCCACGGTGGGCCTCTGATTAAGCTGAAATAAAAGGTCATCACCGTGAGGTGTCCTGTGCCAAACTCGCTTTCTTAAAGGACTTGGGACAAACAGCACATTTTTATAAAGGAACAGAAAACTGCAACTGTGAACTGTCACCCTAACGCAAACCATCTCGGAGGAGAAGGGTTTAGAATCAGTGGGCGCCAACCTTTCGGACCTCAAGGCCACCAGCGGCCCGCGGACCACCGGTTGGCGACCGCTGGTTTAGATTACGCGTCTAACGGCCCAGCCCTCCCCTTGACGCATATGTCGTCGGAGGGGCTCATGCACCCTGTCACCTCCCAGTGTGTATATAGCACAGGCTCAGGGACGGGTTGATGAATGTACACATACATTTTAGGGCAGAAGTGGCTTCTTTTCAACTATCACTAGATAAGCTTTTTTTTTTTAAAGTGCTAACTACAACTTAAAGAGAAAGTGCTCACTACAACTAGTATTCATAAGTCAAGCTCAAGTTAGGAAAGGGTATTCTCTCCAAGCAGGACAAGATTTATTGTTGTTATTATTATTATTGTCATTATTACAAAGCACAGTGGAGGCAGCAGAAAGGGAAACACCAGCACATGTGAATTCAGAGAGGATCTGGGTTCTACAGGCCCCGGTGCAGTCACACCTATGTGGGCCTCGGCGAGCTTTACTTTAACGGAGTCCCGCACCCAAACCCTCAGGGCTAGTGGAGTTTCCTGCCATCAGGAGCTTCCACACAAATTCCAGGTTTCCAGAGAGTCTAAGGGTGACCCGAACCCTGCCATCAGGCGTGCTGTCCTGGGCATCGCGTGTAGAGCCCCGTCGGTGAGGAACACGCCAGCCCACACCTGGCTCCCGGAAGCAAAGGGGAAGGCCATCTGGGTGGTCCTGCTTGCTGGCGGCCCGGGGGAGGACGGCAGCGCGAGGGGCACCCACGGGCACGCACGCACTCAGGCATGGTGTCTCCAGCGCCTGCTGGCGAGTTCGCTGGGCCGGGAAACCGCACTCAGGACCATGCGGTGAGGCCCGTGTCGCCGCCCTTCGGGCCTGCGCCAGCCCAGCTCCCTCGCGCCACGTTTACCGTCACACTCAGCACACAGGGTGCGTAAGCCCAGTACCTTTCTCGTCAGCCTCTGCTTGATCTCTCTTCTCTCCTCCTGCTCTGTCTGGTCGTTCCTTTCTGTGAAAGATGGAAAACGGGAAGGAAGGGGAAGAACGGGTGAGACCCTGCTCTCTCCGCGGCAGGGCCCTCGGCTCTCCATCTCTGGCAGCTCCTGGGCTCTCTAGGGCACCTGGCAGGGACACCCGTCCACATCGCGCTTCGTTTCTGCACGTTGCCGGTCACTGCTCAGGAGACCGTGGTCTCACCGACACACAGAACCGTGTGTCGTCCCCTCCCCCGGCCTCCCGGGGCACAGTGACTGCGCTGCCGCCGCTCTGGGCCCGCTGAGGGCACACAGGCAGCAGCTCCCTCCACCCCAGTCTCCCGGCGGGCAGACTTACATCCACGGCACAGGTGGCAGACAGGCAGCGTGGAGGGTAAGTTATACAGAACACATTCACACACGCATCAGTGAATGAGTACGAATAGGACTGTGCGTGCTCGCTTTTTTTTCTTTTCCATTTACTAGGACAGACATACTTTTATTTTTAGCCAAGCAATATAAGCCGAGGAACACCCTCTTCAGATTCTGGGCAACATATGCTTGCCTGGGATTTATATTTTCAAGGGTATTTCCAATGCAAACACTCCCAGAACCCAGCTGACTGCTGGCAGGAACCCTAACTCTCACGCGACACCGCATCACTCCTTTTAAAGGGGCCGTCTCTCACCAACATTGGCTCTGCTCCCCAGTGCGACCGTGAGCAGTGAGCATTCGGCAGCGCTCACAGCTCCCCCTGAGAGCTAAAAATAGAGAGGAGGCTGAGGTGTAGTGGAAACCTCTGCCTCGCCCTAGGATACGAGGTGATGGATGCCCTATTTCTGGCGCTCTGCTGCTAAATAAAGCCACAGCTCCCTGGCCTCTCTCAGCTCCTGGAAACGCCCCCAGGTTCCAGAGAGGGAACCCTGCGGCTTGTGCGTAATGTGTCTCACATGATCTGCCTTCCTTTAAAGCATTTCGAACATCATGCATTTGGGGAACTGGTTTCATGTATTAGCCACTGGCCTGTATTTTTTTTAAAGGAAGCATTGTGTGGCTGGCATTGCTCAGTGGTTGAGCATCAACCTATGAACCAGGAGGTCATGGTTCGACTCCTGGTCAGGGCACATGCCCGGTTTGCATGTTTGATCCCCAGTGTGGGGCGTGCAGGAGGCTGCCAATCAATGTTTCTCTCTCATCATTGATGTTTCTATCTCTCTAACCCTCTCCCTTCATCTCTAAAATCTATCTATCTATCTATCTGTCTATCTATATAATTTTTTTTTTAAAAAAGGAAGCGTCATCTTGCATTTGGGTGTTTTATAAAGGGAATCCAAGAAATAAACCAGAAGAAACCACAGTTCAAACCTCTAATCAGAAAGCTGATAACACACTTAGGGGGAATGTAGAAGGATCACACATAAGGCCAACCAGGAGGGGTTTTCATTCGAGGTGAGGGGTTCTGATCAGAGCCTCCATCCCTAGATTTTCCGGAAATAGTGCTGGGAGCGGCAGCTGGCAGGGCAGTGGTATCCCTCATGGTGCAGCAGCGAGGGCGTGGGTGACAGAGTGGGGCGACCTGGGCGAGAACTCGGGCTCCATCCCTTCCCAACACTCATGTTAAGGAGGCCTGCTTGCGACCCCATGAGTTCTAGCTTCTTCCCTGAAGGTGGGGACGGCATGCAAGCCTCACAACTTTGCCGTGAAGATGGAACGAGGGAATGAAACCAGCGCCGAGTCCGCTGCCTGCACAGAGTGAGCCAGGGGCAGAACCGGGGTTCTCGGTGCCGCCTGCAGGACGGGGCCACGGTGTCGCTCACTCTTGTACCCTGAGGACGCAGGCAGAGCTCCGAGTGTTCCTGCCCTCAGTCCTGCACCCCTCCGAGGGGAGCCCACGCAATGGGAGGTGCAGAACCATCCTGAGCAGAAATGGCAGACAGAGCAGGAGCCCGGGAGCCTGGGTCGGGCCTGTGAGTGCGAGGCTCCTCCCTGACCAGAGACCTGACTGCTCTCATCCTCCCGGAACAAACAGCCTGCAGACAGCAGGGCGGCTCTGGTGCGAGAGGCTCCGAGCTGCATGGCGAGGAGGAACCCACGCCTTCCTTCCCTGCGCAAGGAGGGGTCGGTTCAGCGCAGTCGGTCACCTCCCTGGCTCTAGTCACTGAACGCCGACCCTCTTTGTGAGGCTGCCTGGTGATTGGCAAAGACCAGCACAGCCAGGAGCGCTGGCTGGTGGGGGCCTGGGCAGGCCACCACCGCAGGGACAGGGCACCACGGCCGGGGGAGCGGTCCCTGGACAAAGGCTCCGCTGGCCGTGGGCAGCAGACCCCTCTGAGTCTGGTCTTTAACTTGTGCCATTCCCGTCTTGAACTGTTACTCTCGGGACATCTGTGACTTATGAGCTTTATAGATGAGTGACTTACTTTTTAAAAATTCAAATACTTGGTAACCTGAACAGCTAGTTCTGCTCAGTGGATGGAGCATCAGCCTGTGGACTGAAAGGTCCCGGGTTCGATTCTGGTCAAGGGCATGTACCTCGGTTGCAGGCTCCTTCCTGGCCCGGGACCTGGTTCGGGCACGTGCAGGAGGCAACCAATCGATGTGTTTCTCTCACATCGATCTTTCTCACTGTCTTTCCCTCTCACTTCCATTCTCTCTAACAATCAATGGAAAAATATCCTCGGGTGAGGATTAAAAAAAATGTAGTGACCTAATATTTTTTAAAATATATTTTTATTGATTTCAGAGAGGAAGGGAGAGAGAGATAGAAGCATCAATGATGAGAGAGAATTATTGGTTAGCTGCTTCCAGCATGGCCCACACTGGGGATTGAGCCTGTAACCCGGGCCTGTGCCCTGACCGGGAATCCAACCGTGACTTCCTGGTTCATAAGTCGATGCTCAACCACTGAGCCACACTGGCCAGGCTGGTAACTGAATATTTGACTCTTTCAGCTGCCCATGTGACTGAGCATGTTACCAACGAAAAGCTTTTCTGTTGTTTTTTTTTAAAAATTTATTTTTTAAAATATTTTTTTATTGATTTCAGAGAGGGAGGGCGAGGGAGAGATAGAAACATCAATGATGAGAGAGAATCCTTGATTGGCTGCCTCCTGCACACCCCCTACTGGGGATCAAGCCCACAATCCAGGCACATGCCCCTGACCAAAATCGAACCCAGGACCCTTTGGTCCACAGGCCGATGCTCTATCCACTGAGCCAAACTGGCTAGGGCATGAAAAGCTTTTCTGTATGTCCTCCCACGCAGCCCAGCATACACAATAGAGAATGTAGTTGTCATAACTTACGTTTAAAAAATAAAACAAAGAAGTCTTAATGTTACGGTTAAATGTTTCTAACCGTCTCTAAAGGAGCGGGCTGGCTGAGCAAAGGCGGGGCAGAAACCCAGGTGGGACTCAGGCCCCAGAGCCAGGGCCCTGCCGCCTGCTTTCTGACCGGAAGGCAGCTCGTAACTTTGTGAAAAGATGCTCACGGGTCAAAAACCAAACTCAGAGAATGTCTGCAGTGCTCATCACACAGAGGAGAAGAAACGGAAATACTGAGAATCCAGGCCCTAAGATGCCACTCTTTGCAGAAAATGTTTTGGAAAGGAGAGCCTGGGGAGCCGAGAGAAGACCCGGCCGAGAGCACTTTCCACTTTCGGAAGGTTTCCCCCATCGCAGTGACCACAGTGAGAGGGACCTGCGCTGCGCTGTGGAGGCGACCTGTGCACACCCTGCGGGACACGGTGATGTCCTTCCCGTCCCGGGGCCCCCGCGGGAGCATGGAGCCGCCTGGTGCACTCTGCGCTCTTCCTCTGAGCTGTGGGCTTGCCCCCAGGTGTGACGGGCGTGTCCCTGTGGGTTATGACACTGTCCGCGCTGCCTGTGCGTCTGTGGCCATCACCAAGGAGCCCCATTCAAATCTGCCGGGGAACCTGCCTGAAACCCAGAACTAACGGCCCCACCCAGCACCTTCCGCGGTGCCAGGAGGCGCTCTCCCGGATTTTAAGGGGGTGCTTCTGGGTGCACCGACTCTTCCCAGGGCTTGCCATCTTCACGGAGGACACAGAGGAGCTGGGCTGCGAGAAGGGAGGGCGCCAGGGGACAGCGCCAGGGGACAGCGCCCGGCTGGCCCGGCCACGGCTCAGCACAGGTGCAGGGGCGCGGGGACCCAGCTACTCACGTTTCAAGATGTTCCTCCTCTCCAGCTCCTCCACGGCAGGTCTCTGGCTGAGCCGTCTGCGGAAAAACACCAGAATCACATTGTGCACCATGGCGGCCCCTGTGAAGTCCACCTTGCACGGGGTCCGCGAGGTCGGAGGTGGCTGGTGCACCCCTCAAGATCGCTCCCCAAAAGCTGCAGGAGAGAAGGGGACCTCTGGTGGCGGCCTCTTGCCAGCAGGTCCAGTCAGACCTCCCCATGGGAGGGAGGTCCCCGCTGTCAAGGGGCGCTGGGGGGAGCGGGGGAGGCACAGGCGCCCCCTCTCCAGGGGCGGCTCCTCATGTCCAGATCCGCGCCCAGCCTGGCGGTCCTGAGGGTCCCAGAGGGACGCGCGTTTGAGCCGCAATGAGGGACGCGCGTTTGAGCCGCAGGAGGCTGCCGGCCGGTGCGAGGGAGGGGCGCCCGCCTTCAGCTTCTGCAGGAGCTGCGACCTCCCCTGGGTCCGGGACACCTGCGCCTGCCCCTCCGGGTGGCTCCTGCGCTCCTGCCGCCGAACCAGCCTCGCGCCAGCGTGACTGAGCGCGCCCCGCCTCCGCCGGGGAGCCCGCAGCCCGAGGAAGGGCGCCGCCACCAGCGCCTGCAGGATCTCCTGTGCGCAGCCACCAGCGCCT